TCCTTTCCTTGGTACTATCTTTATTTCAAAATATGCCTTCTTACCTATAATTTTTTATATCTCCTTTTCGAAATGAAAATATTTTCTTCATAAACCAATTAGTTGACAATTCTTCATTTATAAATTGAATCCTAGAGTCAGCTAGCTTCCTTCCTTCCTTCCTTCCTTCCTTCCTTCCTTCCTTCCTTCCTTCCTTCCCTCCCTCCCTCCCTCCCTCCCTCCCTCCCTCCCTCCCTCCCTCCCTCCCTCCCTCCTTCCTTCCTTCTGAGCCACACCTGGCATGGCAGTGCTCAGGGCTTGCTTCCTAGCTCTGTTCTTAGGGGTCACTTTGGGCGGTATCAAGGTAACCATTGTGGTTCCAGGGATCAAACTCAGGTCAGCCAGGTGCAAGGCAAGTGCCCTATCCCCTGTCCTACTGCTCCAGCCTCACTAGAATCAGATTCTTTTACCAGCTTTGACTCTGATTATGCACTCCATAATTGGAAATGGGCAGGGAAGAGTTGCTGGGAGATCTGAGCTTTGAAAAGGGTTGGATTGGTGCTGGTCAGAGGTCTACTGACTGGAACAAGTTTTCCAAGAACTTTTCTTGCCAGCCTGAAAATCTCCACTTGACCCCTACTTTATACAAGATCTGAAAAGGCAGGGTTTGGTTCTGTGTTAAGCAGAGCAGACATCTTGATATCCTTCAATTTGGGGGCCACTTTGCAGAATCCTAGGTTTTCAATACATTGGTGCTGGCCCAGAACACTCAGACAATAGAAACCTAATACAGATCTTGGACCCCAGAGAAAGTCCCCAGAGCGCCTTCTTTATTGTTAACAAATATTTATTTGGTTCCACTTGGTCACACAGTTACATACATATATTGAGTACGTTTGTCGCATCTAACACTTGCTAATTTATCCATTTGCCAGATATATCAGTTTTGGTTTTTGAAATAAAACTTACCTTGTTATTCCTTTGAGATTGACCCTGTGGATGATGTCAAATAAGGAAGGTTTTAATTCGTGACACTAAAGACTTCTTGTGGGTACATATAAGCAATCTCAAGTGGTATCAGTGTGTTATGGCAGACTGCATGCTTCTTGCCCCTGCCCCATACATGTTTTCCTCTTCTTGTTTTGTCATTCAGCATCTCCTTGGAATCTATTATACAGACTAGTATCAGTTACTTGTAACAGACAAGTATCAGTTACTTGTAATGCTAAATCTCAAGCAAGTCATATATTTTGTAACTGTAGGAAGTATTTCTATCAGCACCACTAAAATAATTTGAGGGGTGTGTCAGGAGAAGGGAGAATTTTGTGTTCTTTCTCCTTTTTATGATTATAAAAATGATATGTGTTCATTTCTAAGGTTACAAAAAGAAGAATCAGATCCTCTTGTTATCATCTTCTCTAGCAACTTCAGTGTTAACATTGGGAAATAGCATACTGCTTCATGCTATTTTTCATTTCATATCCTGTTTTTATACATATCAAATTTTATATGGTTGCAGTCACACTACACAGAATTTTGCTGTATTTTTTTAAAAATATGCATATTGTCTGATACTAAGTCAACATTGACTCTAAGTAAGCAATCCTGCTTTTAAGGATATTTTGAGTCAGAGGATTACAATATCTATTATATGCACAATGCTAATAAAATGCTTTGTTTGGAGTAAGCAATTATAATTAGTCATATCAGCTTCCTTTGAGAAAAACAATTAAATATTTACCTATTAAAAAAAGTCAATGCCAATTTACTGGTTTATCAGTTGACAGTAACTGAATTTCATCTAATTTGTTGCCACAATTAGAACAGTATATCTTAGGGGTTTTGGTTTTGTTTTTGTTTTGTCCACTAACCCTCTGACAATTCAGTGAAACCTATGAATGGTCTTCCCAAACAGATACATATTCCTACCAAAAAGCTAATTATAATGACAATGAGTTATTCTGTATCAAGCATTTGCCAACTGCTTTGTTACATACATGTGTTATTTCATTTAGTTCTGCTAGCAGCACTATAAAGAATAAGCAGTTATTTTCATTTTGAGGATAAAAACCTATCTGCCCACTCAGGGATCACTCCTAGTGGTGATTGGTACTGGTGTGTGTGTGGGGGGGGGGAGGGGGGTACTTCATATGTGGTACTGGGGATTGGACTGGGATAGACTGCATACAAGACAAAAGCTCCTTAAATCCCTGTATTACATCTCTGGCCCACAGATATTGAAGTTTCAAGGAGGCTAAGCAATTTTTCCATGTTGTAGATCCAATATCTGTGACTCAAACTCATTTTTATGACCCCAAAGCCCATCCTCTTTAATCATTATACACGTAATTGTTAGAAAGTTCATAAAGTCCTAAAGCCTGTTTATTGATACCCTGGGAAGAACTCCTAATTTGTTGAGAATCCATATATTTTCATTAGTAATGAAGAATATGTGTGGTTAATGAACTTGTTGTTTGGGATAACTTATTTAATGAATATATGAGAGTTTGTTGAGCAAGTATAATATTGAAATCTTGTCAGGTTCTATGACATGGACTTTATCCTTGAGAAGTTTACTGTTCCCATGGGAAAATAAGTTTTACAAAGTACAGAAATGGGAATGCAATATATATAAAGAGGACTATTATATATTCTTGATATTTCCATAAGTTACAGATAAAGAGTAAACCCTTCCTTTGTCATCCTTTGCAGTGGTCATTTATAAAAAGAGAAAAATTAAGCTCTCTCCTGGGAAATAGGAAGATTAGATGCATCATAAAAATGAGGTCTATATTCTGAGAAACTAAGACTTAAAAATGTCTTGGTCAAATTCTTGGTCGTTTCAGCAGCATGAACCCCAAGAAGGAGATTCAGTAATGTGTAGCCATTTCCCAAGAATTCAGACCATCTATCACAGACTCATGCTGCTAAGTTGTCATAGGTAAGGCAGTGGGACCCCTTATTAGTTTCTGCTTTTTGATTCGAGTAGGAGTTCTACTGACAGAAAACTTCAGAACTTCAAGTGATGCAACACAGTCTTGAGTCATTCTGGAAGAATAGTGCTAGTCTAGCAGCTTCACGGGGCATCCTCAAGTGTGGAAGCATGATTTAAGCGGATCAACCATCTGACAATCAGGACTGTCAGAAAAAGTGGTTTGTAGTGATAATTGAAATAACTGCTTTCTGCAGGAGGATAGTAGAAGAAAATTGTGCATCTGACTTGAGCAGCTGTTATATATGTAGTTATTACAGGTAATGACAGTGATCAGGTATGAGAGATGGATTATGTCAGGCTTCATTAGATATTTGTACAGTTTTAGTTTTGCTCTTTTTAGATTTCAGCTATTTAGGTTTAAAATATGATAGATTTAATTACTAAATGGCATTAGAATTTCCATCAAAAAAATATAAATGTTAGTCTGCTAATCATGCAGTTTAGTTTATCTCCTCCCATCTATGACAGTCATTTTATTTGAAACGTCTGAAAGAAGCATAGTTTATGTGTAGCTTTATGCTACATTTTTTTGCTTAATAATTTTTTTACATTTTATTTTACATAATGTGTCTATAATCCCCAAAACCTAACTTGTTACCATTAGTTTTTTAAATGGAGCAAGGATTTTGTAAAATTCTATTATGTCTCTGAAGTAACTAAATGGAAAATATGTTCAAAGAACAAAAATTCCTGTCATGGTGCACGAATTATCATTTGGGTTTATCCAGCTTCTAGTCATTGGAAGAAGTAATTTTCCAGACATACACAAATATCTTGAAGGATTTTATTTAATTTTAAAAGTACAATGCCAATTCTATAATTTCTTAAACTCATTCTTGAAGAATATAACTTAAATGATAACATTCCTTCTCATATTTGATTTGAGCAGACACTTGAGTATTTTAAAATAAATGGCCACCAGACTTTGACTTTACAGAAAGAATTCAAGACATACATAATAATTGTCCAGCTTTTGTGTGTGTGTGTGCGTGTGCGTGTGTGTGTGTGTGTGTGTGTGTGTGTGTGTGTAGGGTCTTAAACAAGACCTTTTGATTTCATAATAAGCAAGCTTAGGGATAATAAAACTTGACATTCTTAACTGTTACAAGTATTTATCCCTATGGCTTTGCGTAGTTATCATTTTGTTAATGATGTCGAAGCCAGAGTCATAAACTGAGCATGTACCCAAGGCACTACTGTAAATTTCATATAGAATTCACGTGGTCTCTTTGACCTAAGATTAAATTGGGATAGAGGAAAGAGAAAAAGATAATTTTCAAAAATGGAGCAGAAGCCAAGGCCAAAGAATACACCAGAAGGGTAGATGTGTGCAAATGTTCCCTATTTTTTTGCAATGAGATTTATTTAGATGGACCTTTTCATATACCAGATATTCTTGCCAGCCAACAAACACTGGATTGGGGCAGACTCTGCCTTTGTGTGTGTGTGTGTGTGTGTTGTGTGTATGTGTATGTGTGTGTGTGTGCGCGCACGCATGCAATAATGCACCCATGAGATAATACAAATAATCGGTGAAGGAATAATTAATGATGTGGCAGGGAATATTTTTTGATAAATGCTTGGGGAATGAGGTGACAGGCGTGAAATTAGAAAATTCCTTCAGTGATCTAAAATATAAATAGCTTTCGGAACTGAAAAGAGTTTCACAGCTGAAGATTTTATTGTGTTGAGGGGAAAAACTTTTTTCTCTCCCCCACTCCCTCCTCCTTTGCAAGTTGTTTGTCCATTCACAAAACAAATACTCTGAAGCCCAGCGCAGCTCATGGGAATAAATTTCAGGTCGAATTAGTACAGTTTCCTTGCTGTCAGGATGCTGGAATTAATGGTGTTTTGATGACATGAATTTTGAAGGGCAAACAAAGACGCTGAAGGGAGAGAGACATGACTCCTTAGAAGCTTGGTCCTCCTCTCCCCCAGCCTCTCTTGTCTTCCCTGTCATCCGTCTGCCAATCTCCCTGTCCATGGTTAGTTAAAGGCGCTTTTTATCCTCTTTTCTTTCCCACAGAGTTTGCCAGATCCGGCCCGGTGCCTGGGTTCCAGGAGGACACGCTGCAGTTGGCCTTCATCGACTTGAGACAAGTAAGTCTTTGTGTTTTTGTTTTTTGTTTTTCTTTTAAGATGTGTGACTGAAGACCATCAGGTCTTAAGGAAAAGGGGAGGGGTGGGGGATTGGCGTTGGCGATTCACACTGGAGACCTAAGACTTTTTCCCTGTGTTTGAGGCCACCTCTTTTATTTAGCTATCTGGGCTCCTTAGCTATGGCGGAGTTAAAGGTTTTGTGGGTGGAAGGGAAGGCAGGAGGTGGGAGGAGGGACCAGAGAGTAGAGGGACTCAAGTGACCCTCAAGTGATGTGACCCATTGTGCTGGAGTTGGCTTCTGCAGACACAGCAAAAAGATAACTCGGCAAACCCATGCTAAGCAGGTGCACTGAAGCAGAGACTGCTGCCTAGAGAACTTTTGTTTGGCGATAATGAGGGCAACAGCATTTAGGGAAAAAATGAAATATTTTACATTCTGGATTGTTGGCTTGATGTGTTGACTTTTTCTTTTACCTTTATTCTTCCTGTCTCTCCCTTTGTAGAATGTGGTCAGCCCCTAGTGACTAAGTGGCCATTTTTGAGGTGCTTACAAAGACCCTGGCCACTTGTCCTGACATGACAGACAATGCTATTAAGGATGTGTGTGGACAGCCAGGATTTAGGCATACCTGAGCTCTGTGAGTCGGTCTGATAGAAAGAGTCCTTCCAAAGGACTTTTCTTACCAAATGAAATGAGTGGGTTGGTAGGCCTTGGTGATTTGGGTACAGAGAAGCTGGATGAGCGGGTGGGGGTCAAAAGAGGGAGAAAGTTACTGGGCTCTGTCATCTCTTTACTCTGAAGATGGATGGGGTTGGATAAAAAAGTGTGAATGAAGTAAGAATCAATGACTGATGCTTCTTTCCTATTAAAACAATCTTTTTTTTTGTCTGTTTTAAAAAGGGGGCTGGCTTTGTTTCTCCTGCCATAATGATGCAGTGCCTCTTGTTTCCAGAGCTGACATAGTTTGCATTCTGAAAACTTTTAGATGCCCAGGGTATTTCTTAAAGCTGTAGGACCCCTTGTATTGGTAGCTTCCTTACCACTGTGACTCGATTCATGCTGGAACAGCTTTGAACCCATAATGGATGGCCTGAGCTACCCCTGAATTCTGGTAGATGGGTGGGGTAATCTGTCATCTTAATGACAATTCTGGAAAGCCTTGTTAAGCAGAAGACAGAAAATTGTGTCTGTATAGACCCGCCAAAGTTTGAGGATTCAGGCCGCGTCCCAGAAACGTGTGTCAACTTAATATTTGGGGGCTGAAGTGAGGGTTCTCTTACACATAAAGGACTTCTCAGCAGGATCACAAATGGAACTGAGCGACTGTCCACAAGAAGCCACGCCTTCCAACGGTGGATTCAGCAACTCAACTGAGATGTTCAGATTTTAATCCCTTGACTAATCTGAGGTTGAAAAAATAGATTTTGTGCCAGGGTTTTGTAGGGTGGAATCTAAATTTCGTTGGAGAAACACACTCAAGGGGAGAAAAACCTCCCTGTTCACATTCATGAGAAGGAAGGGTGGTTATTCTCTCTAGGTCGTGGTTTTGGTCCCCATGGAAAGCAGATAGTATTTGCAGAAAATGTTGACCAAGGGAATACACTAGAAAGCACAGCCAAAACAAGGTGGGTCTGAGGTGGGGTAAATGCTCAAGTTGTGACCTCCCAGCGGGAATTGTCATCCATGCTTATGTTCCTATTTTCTATTAGATTTCTATCTCGGAGTTCCTTAAGCAGTAAGAACAAAAACTCTAAAATCTTACTTATTATGAAAGAGTATACTTTCTCCTATGAGCATCACCTAATTGCTCTTTATATCTATCTCTATTAAAGCTGTTTAAAGTTCCCAACATTGATAGCTTAGAAAACATCCCTGGCTCTCAGATAGTAGCTCATTATTCACAACAATTAGCTTGTTGAACTATCATTAAAAAAAAAGAAGTTATCCTCCCATATCCCCAAAATATTTATCTCTTTGCTGTTCATCTTAGTCATTCTCATAAGGTATATAAAGTGAAACTTTTTTTTTAAGGAGGTTTCTTCTGAATTACAGTGATGCTCAAACTCAGATTACAATCCTGGTGATTCTTTTCCAGTGGAAATAATTTGATCTCAGCTGGATCTGGATATGTGTTCCTAAATTTGATGTCCTCTTGCATTTATTCTTTGACATTCTAAAATAAAATTAATGGAACTTCCAGCTTGCAAACCAATCTTAGAACCTTTAGCTTTATGTTTGATACTGTGTGATAACCCAGTGTATGCTTGAATATTCTTCTTACAAAGAAGTTACTTGCCCCAGAGTACTAAGTTCCATTCTAAAAAAGATTCTGATTATTAAAAAAAAATTACGTCGACTAAAATCTATTTCTTTTGATTTTGACCCTTTGACTCTACCTTTTTATGAACACGTCCCCCAATTTGTAGTATGGGCTTTCTGTTCTTGGTTTATTGAGCTTCCTGCTGAAGTTGAATTCACATGTAGCATATTTAACTTTTTCTCATCTAGTCTTTATATAGTTGATTTTTATGGACCAAAATTGGAGACTTAAGTCTCTGGTTTATGTTTTTTTTTCAGCATATTATTAACACAGACTCTTAATATTCTAGCCAGTATGAAGATTTTTGGGACATGAAATAGTGATTCAGCTTATTAACTGATTTCATCATCTATGTCGTTTATAAAGTAAGCCATAAATAATAGGATTAACCAAGAACGACAGAAGTTAAAGAAGAGTTAAAATTAAGGCAAGTTACAGTGGAACACACCTATTCAAGAAGGGGATAGATATCCCCAGTGCAATGCAAGTAGGATATTCTTTTACTGTCATCAAATCTATTTGACTCACTGGTTTATAAGTATATGCACGCTGCTCATGTTTTCATGTTCTCTTGATGTTAGAGTGTTTTGGACACTACCCATTGAGTGATAATTTTTAAAACATTCAAAGTATGAAATATTTTATGAAATCCTCTCTGTATATACTATAATTGTGGTGTCATTTTCAAACTATAAAATTATATTAAGAAGTAAATTAGATGTGGTAGCAAAACTATTCACCCTTTCCACCTGTCCTGTCTAATCTAAATTTGCTGTATCTTAAGGAAAAGAGTGAAGTGACATTTTGAATATGCAAGCTTTCATGATTTTTTACATTTGTGAAGCACGTTTACATGCATATCTCATTTGTCAGATTTCTGGGTGTAGAAAACCTGCTATTAATAATTATATGAATCAGTACAAGTTAGCATCTCCCTTTTTGACCACTTTATATTTTCTTACTTCTAAGTTTATGCAGGGAGGATTATAGCAAAAGTGAAAGGCTGACTTATTAGCTGACTCTAAATGACATCTACACTCCAAATACTAATAATTACTGTCCTTTCAGGTTTCATAATGAAAGTTACAATATAAGGGCCTTTAGTAGATTTTCAGTAGTCATTAATTCAACAGTACTATTAGGTAGATAATGCTTGTGAATTACAGAATTTGATCATAAGTGCATGTAATACTGTTTCTGTTCTCCAGGAATAAAGAATTAATCAGCAATTTTTTTCTTTATTCTAATGCACAGCATACGGTGATAAGCACTAAATTGAATGAAAAAACCCATTGTATACATTTTGATTGTTTTGGCAGCTTTTGCTGCATAGCAGATCACCCCAACATGTATTGGCTTAAAACAAGAACCGTTTAGGTCAAGTATGTACAGATTGGCAATTTAGGATAGGTGTGATGGGTTCATTCCTACTTTGATATCAGCTTCTGGGTTGTCTTAGTTGCCTTGTATAGAATGCCTTAACTTGGCTGCTTTTCTAAGCCCCACGTGCTCTCTCATCCACCAGCAGTCTCACCTAAGTTGATTCGCATGGCATCTTGGCAGGCTTCCAGAAGAACTAGAGGAAATGTGCAACCCCCTTGAGGTCCACACTTGGAGCTAGCAAACATCACCTCTACTACATTTTGTTGGCTAACTACAGCTATTCACCAAACTCCACCTTGTATTTGATTTGGTATACTCTACTTTTATATTATTGTCGCAAAATAAGCAACACAAATCAAGGTTCAGGTTGTATCTATCACTGAAGATTTTTAAAAAAGGGTCTTTATGGGTCTAAGTAGCTATAAAGTATTTTTTAGAAAAGAGGAAGAGTTAGACTAAATGAAGTTGGGCATTGATATCAGCAGAAATTATTTCAAGCTTAGAAAATAGCAGGTTTTTTTCCCTTAAATTTTTATTAGTGAAACACCATGAGGTACAGTTGTAGACTTAAAAATTTTTGTGCTTGGGTTTCAGTTATACAATAATCGAATACCCATCCCTCCACCAGTGCCCATTCTCCACCACCACCAGTCCCAGTGTTCCTCCCAACCCCTTCCCCCCATCCCACCCTACCTCTGTGGCAGGGCATTCCCTTTTGTTGAAAATAGCAAGTTTTAAGTCATGTTTTAAAATATGTATATATTTGGTGTGTATGCTATAACTAGGATCTTGGTTATATTTCTTTTAATTGTTAGGCCAGTCTCTAAATTCATTATTGTTTATCTTTACTATTCCTTCCCCTCGTGATCCTCTTTTTCTGTTTTATGTCTTATTCTGTTCCTCATGAAATGCCTCATATTGCGAGCCAGCCTTTGACATTTCACATTTCTCGTATTCACATTTGTTATAAGGGAGTCTTAACCTCCCCAGGTAATTATTACATGATTTATGTAATTCATGTCTGTTTCATGTTTGATGAACAGGAAAAGGTTTGACGCTTATCTTCAGTAACATGACATTAATTTCTGTTCCTTGGCCCAAACTGTTAGTACTTCCGATATACATAAGTTTTTTAAGCTGAATGAACAAGGGTGTGACATTGCGTCAGATCTCCTGAATGGAGCTTGTTGGCAACGACTCTTATACAGCAAAGCTATCCCAAGATATCTACAGCTTTTTTTAGAGTGAGCTGGTGACATTCCCTCTAGGCCAGTTATTCCCCAATTTCTAAACCTT